GTGTGTGTGTGTGTGTGTGTGTGTGTGTGTGTGTGTGTGTATACATATACACCCCACATCTTCTTTATCCATTCATCCATCGATGGACATTTGGGCTCTTTCCATACTTTGGCTATGGTTGATAGTGCTGCTATAAACATGGGGATGCATGTGTCCCTTGGAAACAGCACCTGCATCCCGTGGATAAATGCCTAGTAGTGCAATTGCTGGGTCGTAGGGTAGTTCTATTTTTAGTTTTTTGAGGAAGCTCCATACTGTTTTCCAGAGTGGCTGCACCAGCTTGCATTCCCAATATTCGCTTCCAATTATTTTTTAAAGAAATGAAACTGTTTACCAGCTTCCGTTCCATTTCCTTCAAGCACAATCACTTAGATGATCTTAAGTTTTCCGACAAGTATCAATTCTCACCTGGTAAAATAGTAGGTTACCACAGCTCCTGCCACAGTCATCTGCTGACATGCTAGAATAAATTCACTGATCCAAATCAGGCCCACCACATGGTACCACCACATATACTGCAGAGGCCCAGAAACTCTGAACTCCACAAAGCCTTGGTCATTCTGAACAGCGCTGCCTAGGAAAATATCCAGGAAGGAAAGAAGAAGCACATAAAGTACAAACCAAGAAATATGGCTATTGAATATAAGAGATGAAACTAATTTCCAAAAATAGGCCCCTTCCCCCAAACCACAAACTTTATGATCACAGTGCTCTTTAATTAACAGACAAAATTACTTATCACTTGAAAAGTTGTGAAGCCAGACATTGTACAATTAAGCATTTTGTTTTCCCCAAAGGCATCATATAGCTTTTAAAAGGTGTTCTATTTGAATATAGTTCCATCACATCAGTTAATTTAGGCATGAATTTTCAAACTTCAATTTTTTTGGAGCTATTTTATTACTCTTCCAATAATTATAGACCTAAGTTATTTGCAAAATACAGAAATTAATATTATATTCAATTGGTAAATGCATGCTGAATGGCCAGAGAAGTTACATACAAACTTACTACCCTTACACCACTCCTCACAATTAATTCCATTTAAGTGTAAACTTTGATATATTTTTTATATGAAATTTATTGTCAAATTGGTTTCCATACAACACCCAGTGCTCATCCCATCAATGCCCATCACCCACTTTCCCCTCCCTCCCACCCCCCATCAACCCTCAGTTTGTTCTCAGTATTTAAGAGTCTCTTATGGTTTGCCTCCTTCCCTCTCTGTAACTTTTTCCCCCCTCCCCCTCCCCCATGATCTTCTGTTATGTTTCTCAGGATCCACATAAGAGTGAAAACATATGGTATCTGTCTTTCTCTCATATTAAGAGTGGCTCCAACAAGTCTGAGAGTCTAACTCTGAACAGTATCATCACCAGGAATTCTACCTAGGTTCAGATCTTTTCCAAACTAGAGAATCCCAAGGAAGTAAGTTGATTTGGGCCGTAATGGGAGTTTAAGGCAGTTCCAGAGAGCTCTGCATTCATTTGTTCATCTTAGAATCAATCCAAAAGTCTGAATCAGTACTGGAGTTTACTTCAAAGCCATGAACTGGTTTAGATATACTTTGCTAGGATGATCTAAAAATCATGAATTAGGAATGGGTTGTTGAAGAGCCATAACCACGCTGGTTCTGACGGCTGTTAGACCTTGGTCAATAAATGTCTTAAGAATTATAGCTGATGTTTTAAAATATTTTAATGCAAATCAAATTCATCACTATGAGAAAGAAGCAACATAGCTTCTTACCAGCGGTGCCAAGAAAAAGAAGTGTCATGATCCAGTATGCCCAAAATAAGACAAGAGCAAAGAAAGTCCAAAAGGGTTGGAAGACTAGTAGCGGCAAGTGAATGAAGACCTTGCCAGCCACGTGGAACAAGGCGATGGTGAGTGCGACACGTTTGCGCATAACCAGCATTATCAGGAACAAGAGAACCTGTACGGAGAGAATGCAGAGAAAGGTCCCAGTTATCGCTATAAGCAGTAAAAACAGAAACTGAAACAGGGTGGAAATTCCTTCATTTCAAATCAGGGAAGGATTATTCTCTGAATCCCAATAATACTTTATCCGTCTTGCAGCACTTAGCATCCTCAACTGAATATTGAAAATGTTCTTAAAGCAGCACACAAAAGGATTTCTCAATGTATTAATAAGTCTTTCGAGTTCTTCTACCTTTCCTTTTCTACTCATTATGAATCAAAATGTGTTGTTTGTCCATCAAGATGAGGCTTTTAATTTATTTGAATACATACACGCTTGTCACTATGAAAATAGGGGAGAAGACCATATGCCATGACTACAAAAGCACAGGAGGTATTTGTACTTCATTTCCTTTATCAGACCAAGAGCTCCTAGGGGCACCTGAGTGGCTCAGTTGGCTAAGCATCTGACTTTGCTCAGGTCATGATCCCACACTTCGTGGGTTTGAGCCTCGCATCAGGCTATCTGCTATCAGCAAACGGACCCGGCTTGGGATCCTCTGCCCCCCGCTCTCTGACCCTCCCCAACTCATGCAGGCACGTGCTATCTCTCAAAAATAAACATAAGAGGGGTGCCTGGGTGGCTCAGTTGGTTGTGTCCGACTTCGGCTCAGGTCATGATCTCATGGTTCATGAGTTCGAGCTCCATGTCTGGCTCTGTGCTGACAGCTTAGAGCTTGGAGCCTGTTTTGGATTCTGTGTCTCCCCATCTCTCTGCCCCTTCCCTGCTCATACTCTCTCTCCTCTCTCTCTCTCAAAAACAAATAAAAATCGCACTGTCTCTCTCTATATATAATAAAAATTAAAAAAATAAATAAATAAACATAAGAAAAAAAAGAGCACCTACAGAGCACAGTCCATGTCGCATTTACCTCCTGCCCACCCTCATCGTGGTCTGAGTGAGAGCAGGTGAACTGTACTTAAAAAAAAAAAACAAAATTGTACTGTGGGATGCCTGGGTGGCTCAGTCAGTTAAGCATCTGACTTCAGCTCAGGTCATGATCTCACGGTTCATGAGTTCGAGCCCCGCATCAGGCTCTGTGCTGACAGCTCAGAGCCTGGAGCCTGCTTCAGATGCTGTGTCTTCCTCTCTCTTTGCTCCTCCCCTGCTCACGTTCTGTCTCTCTCTTTCTCTCTCTCTCTCTCAAAAATAAACATTAAAAAAAAACTATACTTAAAAATGATTAGTAAATATTTATATAATAATAACAAACAAATACCTTTTGGCACCAATGGTTTTATGGTGGCTTCATTTTTTTACTTCTAAAGCTCAACTAAAAGCTTGGGATTTGTCCAAGAAGTGGTCTGAGATTGTGTTCCTTTTTTTTTTTTTTCAGAGAGGAGAAGGAGACAGACCAAAGATATAAATACATATTATATAACCACATGTTCATTAGTAATTTACTGTATAGTGCCCAGGCAGCAAAGATCACTTTTATTTGGAATAATGTTGTTAAAAGTTTAAAAAGGAAAAAAAAAAAGTTTAAAGGGAAAACATGGGAAGATAATTAGCAAACAGGTAAATGAAACGATATGTATATTTCTTAACATACTTTAGTAAAGAAACCCATTTTTTAAAAAAGGAATTGTATTATGAAAATAATATGTTCTTCTTAACAAATGATAATGTGAATATTCTAAGTGAAAATCCTCTCTCAACAAGCGGACAGTACAGAATAAAACGGTCCATTAGGAAAGCCTTCTGAAGACTCTTTAGTGTTCCATACCATGGGGTAGTTTTTATCTAAGGGAGATCGGGGTTAGGCATGCAATAGCCAGAGGTGAGTTTCTGCTTCATTAATGATCCCTGTGAATAAAAACACAAACCTAGAAGATAGCTGGCCCAAGTCCATACTCACTGTGAACACTGTGGCTGAAATGGCATAGATGAGGAGAGCCCGAAGATTGTCTTCAGCTATCTGAAGCTGTTCAGGAATAACTGTTTCTTTGGGAGACTTTCTTTGCTTTGCATACAGCCACCATAGTACACCTGTGCCACCTGGGTTCAAAAAACAATTGTTTTGGAAATAACTAGCACAAGAAAATATGTTAACATTAATCTTCACTTTCCTGGACCCTTCCTACATAACACCGGGGGACTAACATGGCAACAATCCATTTGGCTGGGAGGTGTGTGGCTGTAACTTTTTGCAGGCATAAGGGGAGCTCCATTTACTACATTTTCATCATGCACACTAGGTTACTAAGACATCTTTCAGTGTATCAAATAAACATCCTTCAACTGTATCTATTATTGGCTCTGAAGCTCAGAGAGAGCCTACAAAGACAGGCACCCCGAGAGGAACTGATCATAAAGAGACTCAGCACCTGTTGAGAGCTGGGGAGTTTGTACGAAGCAAGTAAGGGTCACAGAAATCAGCAATGAAGCTGAGGAAGGCAAAGATCTTTTCTATTGGGCCATCACAGAAACCCCCCTGCCTCGTGCTGAAACAGTTATGCAGTTGATTCAGTACCAATGAGCAAATGAAGATCAAAGACTTGGTTCCCACCAAAAGTGGGAAAAAGATAGGAAATCTTTGATAGCTTAATAGAAGTGTGTGCCAGAGATGGGAGTTGTTCTCCTCATCACTGGTTCCGAGTCCAAGAACTAGACAGAAGAGGGGGGCAACCCGCCTCCACAGAAGAGGGTTGCATCAGACACCTTCATTCTGAGTGCCCAGAGCCATCTACCCATCTAGGTACTGGGGACAGAGCTGTGAACAAAACCCAGTCCCCACCCTTGTCCTCCATGGAGCTTATACAGTAATAAGGAAACAAACAAACAAACAAATAAGGAAGTAAGTAAAAATAAAGAATATGAAGTCTAAGAAAAAAAAGTCACTTTTTAATAGGGATAGAAAGTGCTGGGGTTGGGAAAGCACTGTGAGAAGATGAGTAAGCAAGGTCTCAGTGGTGAGATGTTATCTGAGCAAAAGAATCAAAGACAGGGAGAAAACAATCTATAAAAGTATCTAAGGAAAGGGGTGCCTGGGTGGATTAGTCGGTTGAGCCTCTGACTTTGGCTCTGGCTATGATATCATGGTTCGTGAGTTTGAGCCCTACATCAGACTCTATGCTGACAGTGCAGAGCCTGCTTCAGATCCTCTGTCTCCCCACCCCCACCTCTCTCTCAAAAAGAAATAAAAACATTAAAAAAAAACAAAAACAAACAACATCTAAGGAAAGGATGTTCCAGGCAAGAGATGATAGCAAATTCTAAGATGCTGATATGGGACCATGCCTGGCAGGAGAGAAAGGAGGAGGGCCACTGTGGCTACAGCAACTAGCAAGGGGCAGAGTAGGAAGAGTGGTGGGCTGGGGGGCACCGGGCACCAGATCATACTGTCAGGCCTTGTAGGCCACGGTAAGGAAATGGAAGATTCAGAGTAAAGATATGTATGTGTGGGCAGACAAGATAAACGTCTGGGAGAAGACAAATAGGGCTGAGATCTGTGCAAATCAACGTGACCTCCACCTGCGCTCAAGTAAACACTGAGTAGTGTCAAAGGGAAATTCCAACTCTACCTGGTGGCAAATAGCAAGCGAGAATTATTTTCTACTGAAGATGAGTAAACAAACTTCAACAACCACCAGTCTCTGAAAAACATTTGAAAAAGGGAAATATTTCCATTTTGAAATCTTAAAGAAAATTGTAGCAGCCTCAAAAAAATGGAATAAAATATGTTCTCTGCAAACAGGAATAAAAAGTGAGGAGAGGAAAGGCAAACAGAAATGAGAAAGAAAAACAGAAAACAGAATGAGCTAATAATGAAGACATCAAGGAGGATACTGTTCACAACAGCCGCAGCAGACATCATTTATTAAACATGTAAATCTGTGTCAGGGGGGCACCTGGGTGGCTCAGTCGGTTAAGCACCCAACTTTTGATTTCCACTCAAGTCATGATCTCGAGGTTTTTGAGTTTGAGCCCCGTGTCAGGAGCTGCACTAAACAGCATGGAGCCTGCTTATGATTCTCTCTCTCTCTCTCTCTCTCTCTCTCTCTTTCTCTCTCTCTCTCTCTGTCTCTTCCTCTCTCCTTCTCTTTCTCTCTCTCAAAATAAATACACTTAAAAATAAATAAATAAATAAATTTGTGTCAGGAACCGTACAACAGATGTGACCAAAGTGAATCACTATGATACTATTAAGTAGGTAATACAAGTCCCATCTTTTTTTTTTTTTTTTTTTAACGTTTATTTATTTTTGAGACAGAGAGAGACAGAGCATGAACGGGGGAGGTGAAGAGAGAGAGGGAGACACAGAATCGGAAGCAGGCTCCAGGCCCCGAGCCATCGGCCCGGAGCCCGACGCGGGGCTCGAACTCACGGACCGCGAGATCGTGACCTGAGCTGAAGTCGGACGCTTAACCGACTGAGCCACCCAGGCGCCCCACAAGTCCCATCTTATACATAATAAATACAATCGAAATTCAGGAAAGTTAAGTAACATGCCAAATGTCACATACCAAGTAAGTGGCAGAACTGGAATTCAAATCTACTTTTATTATAAAAAATTCTCCATATATTATAAACTGAATGTTTGTGTCCCCATAAAACTCATATATTGACATCCCAATCCTTAATGTGATCGTCGGTATTTGGAGTTGAGTGTTTGGAGGATGATGAGGTCATGAGAGTGGAGCCCTCATGAATGGGATTAGCGCCCTTATAAAGCAGACCTCAGAGAGCTCCTCCCTGCTTGCACCACGTGAGAACATAGCAAGATGATGGCTGGATACAGGAAGCCAGCCCTCGCCAGATACCGAACCTGCACATGCCTGAATCTGGCCTTCCTAGCCTCCAGAACTGTAAGAAGTAAATGTTCCCTGTTGATAAGGCATCCAGTCAATGGTACTTTGTAATAGCAGCCCAAAGTGACTAAGACACCATCACTAGAACTGGATACAAAGGTCACAAGTAGAAATGAAAAGAAATATGGCTGGGAGAAGGAAGAACCGGAATAATAGAAAGAAGTAGTCAAGTACAGAACCAGCAGTGAGGAAAACTAAATCAGTGATATGGAAGATACGCTTGAAGAACACTTCCTGAATACAAGGAAAATGTTATCAGGATTAAAATGATAATTTAGTATATGTGCTGCCGAAGCGAGCACGATAATTTAGAAGATGACAGCAAAAGAATGAACAATGGTCCTAAGAAGAAAACCACTAGAACAGAAACAATAATCAAATACAGAAATAAGAAAACTTACTTCTGTGTTGGAAAATATCTGCCCCCCCAAAAAAGAGATCATAGGCAAACTTAAAGATTCAGAACTAGATAGAAACTTTAAATTATAAGAATAAGTTAAGGGGTGTCTGGGTGGCTTAGTCGGTCAAGCGTCTGATTCTTGATTTCAGCTCAGAAATAAAATTAGACTGGTCTCCAAAAAGTAAAGTACAGACACTGGGAACGTGTTGCACCTCAAGAATTTTACATGCAACAGATTCAATATTCACATGTAAGGCAAAAATAATCTTAGATAATCAAGAGTTGAGAAAATATATGACCCACAATTGCTTCGTGAATAAGTTACTCGAATTCAGATTCTCATCAAAACAGAGATGAACCAAAATTAAGAACTCAAGAATGAAGTTTTAAAAAAATAGTTCTCACTAAAACTAGGACAGAAGAATGTAATAAACTTAAATGTAATTATGAAACATTTCAAGGCAAAGCAAAAATTCTTTAAAAAGGGTACAATGTATTAAATAATATTTTAATTTTAAAATAACCTGATTGCAAAAACACAGATTATTTGGTAACAGTTATAAAGTGGGACAGGTTGGAAAGAAAGAAGTTTATGTTGAATTTAAACGAGGTGGAGGAAAACTCAACACATACTCCTTCATTTCAGCCTTTAAAAATTACAGAATTAAAAGTTATTTAATTTTTTAATGTTTATTTTTGAGAGAGAGTGTATGAGCGGGAGAGGGGCAGAGAGAGAGGGAAACACAGATTCCAAAGCAGGCTCCAGGCTCTGAGCTGCCAGCACAGAGCCTGATGTGG